GCCAGTAGCACTACAACATTACTGTTACAGAATCAACAGAAATGAGTCAAGTTTTGCATCCAAGGCTTTTAAGAGGAAATCCTGATGGGACAGGGCACGCTGGAACAGTTTGCATCCCCCTCTCCTCGTACGGGACTTGTATCAGGGTTTTGAGGCCGCATTAGCCCCGCGATGATCTCCTGCGTGCTTGCAAGTTCCACTGGTTCCAGGTTCAGACCAACGATGACTTACTGGCACGTGATCCAAAGCAAGAGTCTTCTGGCCACCAGCACCGCACACTTGACGTGCGATACGGAAATCCAGCTGTGCTCTGCCATCAGGAACTCAACAGTTTCTGATTTTGTCTCACCACTCTACGGATGATCCATACGGCAGACTTGACTCCAGCTGGCCCTATTGTATTGGATCTACAGTGACAGACAACAGGAGCCAGAAACTTTTTGTTCAAGTAGAGCCAGCAGATGTGACACTGAATAAACACAGACAGTCAATCTGCTGAGTAAGAAGGTATCGTTCATATAAATAACATACATCTAATCCTGCTTCCATTTTAAACCCAAATATGGGAATGCAAGATGCTCGGCGCGCTGCAGATTTATGCTTTGAACAATGAGATAGAGCAAAAGCAGATAACACACAGCCCCTCTGAGCTCAGGCAAATTCTTATTTCACTTTTGCTTTGAATTATTATCAGATCCACAGCTTTCTCCATGAAGAGCTTCCCACAGAGCGTTAACAGTCTGTCCAGGCTAATGTCAGATGGGATAAGTTAGCCTTATCAAAATATCTGCTGGTCCCTACTGCTTCTCCCGATGGACCTTAATTACGGAGCAATTAAAAGTATTATTCCAATCATTTTAACCTCACACATTTCAAAAACCGGCATTACACCCACTGCGGGGTTTCTCATGGTCTCAGCAACGGGACTTGTTGGGCTCGAACTCTGAAACGACATATTTCCTGCTTATTGGGAAAGTTTGCAAATTTGCAGCTGCCAAAAAATTATTTCATTAGAAAGCCAGTAATGATACGAATTAGCACACGAGAAGACCTCTTCAGAGGTTACCTGCAATATTGACACAAGGTGGGTGGCTTGTTTCACTATCATATCCACTCAGAAAGCAAGCAAAATTGGTAGGGAAGTTTGATACAGACAATTATTCTACCAGAACCCGTTAAAGATAAAACTGGAGGAACTGGCTTCCAACTGCCTGTGCCTCGCACAAGCACACCCTTCCTTTTTGCGAGTTCACAGACTGCAAAGCGTGGCTACAACGTCATCCAGTTCCCAGTGTGCATCCCTTGAGGATTAATGCTTAAGAACCTCTAAAAGACAAGGAAGTTTTTAATTGTGTCAAGAATTTGCTTCATTGAAAAATAAATGAGTAAGACAGGACTGTCACTGAGTCTAATTATACTTGATATCACTGTGCTTGGTTTCCCCCACTCAGAGGGATCGTTTCATCCTTCCTCAAAACACAGCCACCAGCAGGATGCAATGATGTATCACATAGCAATTCAAAAAAGGATGGAGAAATAAAAAATATATATTACTACTTTTCCCAGCATTTTCCATGGGATTAACCTCCGTTCTCGTTAGAGACTCATTTATCTACTTTTTTTTTTTTTTCCTTCATTTGCTAGCAAGCTCCTCCAAGACAAACAGACATTTATTTGTTCCCCGAGAACCCCGGGCCTGAAAGATGCAGCCATCTGTCAGCGGGAAGGAGCTCTCCGTAAACGGCTGCTTTCTCATCAAACCCTTTCTAGACTTTAATTTGCCACCTAAATTATCAAAGGAAACCAAACAGCTTTTAGTTACATGTATACGCACGCAAAGTATTTTAAAGCACAAGATCAGATACGCAGAGCACAGCAAGTAGGACGATCAATAAAGCAGCTTTTGTGCTCCGAGAGGTGCTCACGTCTATTTTGCCAAGAGTCTTCTCTAGGGAAGGAGAACTCATGTGGACTTCATGAAATGTGCTGCAGAAGGTCTACCAAAGCATCACTACACATAATTCAAGCTCCCAAAGAAAATGGATGGAGGGCATTTCCTTCCTTGGAAAGCCACTCCTGAAGACCATGAAGTTCAGACCTATGCTTATTAGACCCCGCAGAAGGACATCAAACCTCCCTCGTTTGCTGAGGCTCAGTTTGGGGCCCAGAATTGCTTGAGGCACCCAGATCTTGACAGCTGACTCCAGGATAAAAATGGGCCGGATTTTGCTCTTTTTTCCCCTAGGTCTCACCTTCTTAGAAGAACCTTGTTAAAAGATGTGTGGAAACATGAAGTTACACCAGCTGACCACTCTGTAACCCCAACCTTACCAACCTCTTCCAAAACTTCTAACAATTTGAAAAGGTGACATCAGGGAGGTAGAAAAGCACGTGGCTGAGCCAAAGGAGGGATCGTCTCATCGAAGTTCAGAGCAGGTACACAACTCACAGACAGCCAAGCCAAGAGTACGGACACCCTCTATATACAATGGAGCATGACGAGCAAGACAATTGCCCTCAAAGGGCAGAAGAGATTCAGCCCTTAAAAAGTAAGAAATTCACAAAGGAGGGGAAAAGTGAGCCGCTTAGGATCTAAAACCACCTGTTTTCAGTCTGGAACCAGAACTGCTTGTTCCTGGAGGCAACAAAACGGGTAGACAGAATTACAGGGTTTGGGTACACAGTGAAACCAGACCAAGTTGTAGTGCTCAATCTAAATTGTTTCATTATACTACCGTAACCATATGGATGCTTACCCCATCCCAACTGGGAATGCAGTGCCACCCTCTTAAACCTATTCTGTAACTGCAAAAAGTAGAACCACTAACTCAATCGAGTTTGCTCCTATCCCCCCACTTTGGAGATACACAAGAAGTAGCTTTGAGAATTCCATATTTTTCCTGTATTAATGTCACTGTAAAAACCAACAGTTTGGGCCCACATTGTGCACAGTGGGTTACCCAGCTTAAAAAAAATAATAAACAATCTACATACATACACACACTGTAGGCTTCAATGGAGATTTGAGGAAGGTGAGGATTATTATTCGAACATGGAAACATTCCCAAAGGAAGAGAAATTTTAACTAAACAGAACTGGATGGATGATCTCCACCCAACAGATTTTTCCTCCAAAAAGAGGAAAAGAAAACAAGCTGAGGCGTAACAAAATCCACCAAAAAGACGAGCAGAATCACCTGCTCCTGTCCCACCAGAAGAACCTCTGACCAAGTGACCTCAACTCAGGACCTTCCTGGAGCCCAGGACTTGTGTTCATCCTCAAATATCCCGAGCACATCCCATCCCAGACATCGTGCCCCAGAGCAGCAGGCTGGAAAGCACCCGCTTACGGAAACCTTCCAAACACCAGCTCGGCAAAGCTCTCTAGTGCATATCTGCCTGGTGAGAGAGGGGCGTTTCAGTGTTTGTCTGGATCCATTTCCGAGCCTCAGCTTCCTCACTGTCCTCAGGCGTTCAGTTCTCAGTGTGTGATAAAAAAGGACCACGACGGTCTCCCCCCTCCACCACCCCATTCCCTTTCGCATGCGCCGTATCCCCTCCTTCCCTCCAAAAAGCGTCACCAGATAGTGAAGGCCCTGTGCATCCGTTTATGAATTTCAGAATCAAAATCACGAAAATACATAAAGAGACCTCACAAAGTACACACACACGCAGCCGCACGCTGGAGGACTCCCCACGCTGTCGAACACGCGCTGCCCCGCGCTCCACACGAAATCTCTGCTAAGGTAAGAGCAGCACCAAGCCTTTAACGCAGAGCGTTGTTTTCATTCGGGCATACGGGCTGCCATCCTCTTTAACCAACAGCTCCAGCATCTGCCAAGCGCGCTGCATCCTCGGGTAACGTCGTGATTTTCATCCCCTTTTATCACGACACAACGCCGCCCCTTTGGAATTGCGATGGTTTTTTGGAAGCAGGTCAAGGGGAGCTCCACAGCGAGGTCGGTGGCTTTTGAGAGTTGATCTCAGACTTGACCCGAATCTGTGCTTTTACAAGGGAAAATATAACCTTCAATTTGTCGGCGTAACTACAGCTGCTTTGTTGTCTGCTGTTCTCTTGGGCACACGCACAAAAGGTACCCACAACGAACGACACGAGACAGCTTAGCCTCACAGTCTTGAGGAAAGCTAGCTGACTTAAGAAGAAACATTATTTCAAGTTGCATCAGGTCTTTTTGCCTCCCACTGTCACAGTGTGTAAGGAACTGGGCTCAGTTCAGCGCTAGTTCAGGTCCCCGTGTTTGGAGAATTGCTCGCACATATATTTTGATCTTACACTACCCCGCCCCCAAAAAGAAACCAAAAAGAGAAAAGAAAAAAGCAGCTGCCCTTCATTGAAAGCAAAATCCTAAGTTTTCTGGCCAACAGGCACCATTTAAGATCATGAGCAGAAGTATTTCTTCTAAAGGATTCCCCACCACTATCAGCCCCTACTTTATGCAAGCAGAGAAATGCAATAAAGTTGGATAACACTAAATGACACATAAACGGGCCAGAAACCCCAAAGCCTCTTACAAGCAGGGTAATAACGAAGGAAAAACTACCACACTTGTCTCAGAAAAGGTTTTCTTGAGTGCAGGCACTGAAAACCTGCGGTGCGAACCCACCCAGCTCACTTCTTCCACCAGAATTAATATTTGCTCTCTCATCTACTCACCTGCATTTTTTTCCCCATGACCACTTGTAAGAGTTCTCCTTCTGAGAGGACCACATCACTGGCAAGTTTGGCTGAAAGCAGTTCAGGGTCTCACCAGCTACTAGAGGGAGGTGAGAGACTGACGGGCGTGGATTCACTGGTGTCTAATAAAAAGCAAGTTTCTGCTACAGATTTAACCGAGCTCAGTTGGGCAATCAATCAGCTGTGAGACACAAATCCACTGGAAACCTGGCTTCATTACTTCTGCTGTTCGCGGAAGAAATTGTTTTCCATCTAAAGCTGTCTAATAAACAGTACATTCAGAAAACAAGGTGCGTATACATTACCTCAGTAACAAAGAGGGTGCGCGGATCAATGATGTCCAAGAAGTGCCTGAATCTGCCATAAAATGAAGTCTGGAAGAGAGGGGGGGAAAAAAACAAACAACAAAACTTATTCAGTTAGAAATTGCCTTTCACCTGCTGCAGAGAAAGGTTTTATCTCCTCCACAGAACCGAGCGGCAATTAAACAATAAAGCCGCTGTTCACCGGTAATTTGTGATGGGGAGTCTGAAAGGAAAAGATGAGGACTTGGGCCCTGCTCACGGCAGCGTTGCTATCAACAGGATACCAACGCTGATGCTTTAATAAAGGGATACTATCAAGCTGCTAAAACACCCTTTACTTTTTCCCCAAAAAAGTCCCCATGGGCCTCCTGGGAGATGCCTGAGGCCGCAAAGACACAACGTGCAGCTCCCGACCTCCCGCACCGAGCAGCGCCACCGCAGGAGTCCCCACCCCACCGTGTCTTTAACCCGGTCCCTGTGCTGCTTGTCCTCCTGCCCGCTAGCACCCATCTCGCAGGACCTGCAGCACCACAGGGGCCCTGATTTTGGGGAGAGACCAGAGTGAAGAACCTCCTCCACTGCCAGAAAACACATTTTCAAATGCTCTAACAAGAGTTTAAAGTCTCAACAAGGGAACTAGTAGTTTCCTCCTCGATAGGAAGAACGAGAAAGGTAAAAGACGAGACTACGTACAAACCCAGTTTTATGTCTTACAGCTATTGCAGAATTGCCCAGGCACTAAACCAGGGCTGGGTTTCATTGTGCCAGTCCCTACACAAACCTGGAGCAGAAGGTGGACTGTGAACCTTAAAAGAAACCATAACTTTATGGTTTGGGCTTGTTCTTAGTGGCACATTTGGAAAAAACCAACCTAGACGTGCTTGCGTAGGGATAACGCTGTGCAAAAGCTGGTGAAGACGCTTTCACCGGGAGCGGGAAAAGTGCCTGAAGGACCAGAAAGGGACTCAGAGAACAGGGAACAGTCTGAAAGAAAGGGGAGATGTCTGTGAAACAGGCTGGCAGGATTATGGGCAGCTCCGAAGGAAAGGAGAGCAGTTTTGACTCAGTATTTAGAGAAAAATAAATGAAAATACAAACTGAATTTAGGCAAAGCCCAAAGCACCAGGACCATGCAATAGTGATGTATTAAGAGCACTCAGGATACAGGTACATCATCACTCAAATATCAGCCTGGATTCTTTCACCTGGATGCAGATGCAGGCTGAGTGTCAGAGAGCTTCTGCAGCCTAAACCCTCACCTGGACATCGGCAAAGCCAAACAGACACGGGGCAGCCTGGTCCAGCGGCTGCTTTCTCTCTCCCCTGGCTTCTCCCCAGCAGAATTTGCAGCCCATCGTGGATGCAGAAAGGACACAGGTCATGGACCTCCACGTGCTCGTGACTCTCGGGAGCCCTTTGCCCTGGGTGCTCCCCAGCCACGTGCAGGCAAATCGTCTCTTTTGGGGTTTGTAAAGCAGAGGCGTGCTATAAATAAAGGAGTGGAACATGGATACAGCAGCGAGAATGGCATTTAATCACAGCCTGGCATCATTTTATGAAACATGCTGGTTCTTCACTGCTGAATCCATCCAGCACAGAGAAATACCAACACTACTGCCCACTTATTCAGGCAGAAATCCCTCTCTAATGGCAGTTTCCAGCAACGCTGCTGTCCACCACCTCGTGTTGTGACACCCCGCTCTCAGCTGCTGACAAAGCTCTGCTGTTCTCTTTCCACGTTCTGCACTAAAAAAAGAAAAAAAAAAAAAACAAAAAACCCCACGACTAAACAAAATCACTTCACATAACTTCAGGAAAAGAGCCCGGTGGTTTTTAATTAGCGTTGATTTAATTAACACTAATTCTGGTACTTTCCAGCTTTTGCGAGCTTGACGTTCTGCCGCCTTACTTTTATTTTCAGTGTCAAGGTCTCTGCGGATGCCACTGTCCTCCACGACACCACGGCCCGGCGCTCGCCAGCGGTGTGGGGAGCGACAAGACTCACGCACGACTCGCTTGGCCGCCGTTCTCCCGAGCGCTCCCACGTCCCACCGTCCCTCTCCCACCGCCCGTCCTTCCGCGCTTGCTCAACGCCGAACCGCAGCAGGAGAAATGGGAGCAGTTGTGAGCACAGGGGTTAAACAAGGACAGAAGGGGGGGGGGGAATTTTTAAATTTAAGTGGTCTTTATCGTTCTGCTACGCGTTTCACAGCGAGAAAAACAGTATTAAATGGGATTAAACAGAACATCAGTATTTTACACCCAGTTTACAAAGGCGTAAGTGACAGCACGAGACACATAGAAAGGGGAATGAGCACCTAAGTTCACACGGGCGTGATATAAGCGTTATTTCAGATGCACGGATCTACATTCGCAAAGCTGCAGAGGCTCTCAGGAAGCCAGTCCCGTAGCCCCGGGCTGTTGTCAGGCTCAGGTAAAGCACTGGCCTCCTGCTCTGCTCCTCCTCGCCTGGTGCGACCTCAGCGGCACCCAACTAAGGAGATGTTGGAGCAGCTCAAACCCCTCCTGCTGCAATGCCCTTCCCATGCCCCCTCCTCCTCTCCTGCCCTGGGCCAGCGCCGACACTCACCCGGCGCTGCGGCCGCCTGATCGGGCAGCTGAGAGTGCCCAAAGCCTGATCCTCAAACGTGGGATTTGTTTTCAGGTGGTGGCGTGGCCCGAACCCCTTCATTCTGCGGTCAGACAAGCCCCAGGGTGAGGGCAGGATCATTTGTGAGGGACCTGGACTCCCATGGAGCTCCACAGTAAGGTCCAGAGCAAAAAATAAAAATAAAAATAAAGATAAAAATGCCAATTCTACCATGCAGAGCTGCCGACCATTCCTTCAAGCGCTTACGGCCAACAGTCACGTCTGTAAGTACACACACACACAAAATCAACCAGAAATGCTGCAGCTCAGTAAGGGAAGCAGTGCTTTTCCAGTCTCACAGAGCTTAAAAGATCTGTAGGAAAAAGTCTTGGGGCTTTCCGAAGGCCTTCTCCAAGAAGGATAATTGCTTTATCCTCCTAGCCTTCTTTCTGGGGAAAAAAATACATCTGAATATAGAGGCTAGGCTAGGAACCAAGAAAACAAACACGGACAAGCAGCAGGCGCTGTGCTATGGGCTTGTGAGGAGATGACGGCCAGAGCGTCTTTTTCTGACGCCACAAGGCACTTGGTGGTGCACAGGTCACCTACGGCCCATGGCTTGTCTGCCAGCACACGAGACTACTTCAGTGCTTCCTTCTTTCAACCCCGCTTTTGAAAAAATAGAGACATTACCCTCTCGCTACCGCTTTCACTCAAAGAAAGGCCAGTGGGAATGTTCCTCCCTAGGCTGGACCACAAGGCAGAAGCCAGTTCTCCAGAACATCTCTGACCATCAGGGCTGCACAACGAGACCAGGCGGGGTCTCGAGTCCACCCTCGCTCCCCGAAGGCGGGCAACGAGACCCAACTCATCGGCTGTGGTTTCCACTTTCTTTTTGCATTACCATGAGCTCTCTAAAATGCAAGTACCTAAACAGGCTTTGCCTTCTTGCTCTTATGAGCCACCTAAAAGTGAAAAACCCCCTCTTAAAAGTCTCCCACGAAGGGGATCCTGGTGCTCAGCCACCACCCAACCTTTCCAGCAGAAGGGCTATTGTCACCCTGAGGCTCAACGTCCACCACGGCGACTGAAGCCAAAATCTGCCCTGCTCTCTTTCCCAGATCCCAAAAAGTAAACAGGGTGAGCTGCAGTCCCAGGACGGCGAGTTATCCTTTAACGCGTTCCTGATCAGCTCGGCGCGCTCACAGCTCGGCTCAACGTCCCTCATCGCCACCAGAAGATAAGCCATTAACCTCCTCGCTCTGCTGCTTCTAGTCCAAGTTTCTTCAGACGAGGCAACTGCCTTAAACCTCACTCACTCCCGCGTCCAAAATTTTTGAAGAGAGCAGCTTTGTTACTCAAACAACTGGAAAAAAAAAACCAACGACATTCTAATCGGTAAAAAAGCACTTTCCCCATCCTCCTTCTCCCTCTCACGTGCATGCAAGCTGGGCTTGCTCGCAACCAAAAAACCCGGGGGGGAAAGAAGCAAATAAAGCTCAGCCTTGGATGGGGGAGAGCAACATGAAAGCAAGACGAGTGGCAGAGTGGGATGGGTGGAAGTCCCCAGTTCTACCTCTAAACCATCTCCAAGTCCGTTCATGGTGCCACACCTCATCTCATGAGAAGAAAACAAAACAAAACAAAAAACCAAAACAGCCCAAAAAAGCAGAGGAGTATGAGTCTGAACAAGTTTTGAGGCTTTTCTTTTTTTTTTAAAACTCTGATGAACGAGAACCTCATTTTTCCACCACCAAAGCTCTCTGTCTGTGGTCTCTCTGAGAAGCGCATGAAATGGAACCACACTCAAACCCAGAGCAAAGTTGTCTTCTTGAGGCTGCATCCTCACGGCGGGTTTCCCTGCTCAGCTCTCCTCAGCAGCAGTGCATTTACCACGACTGTACAGCCCCTGAGCAAAAAAACACCCGTTGTTTTTACTGCTGTCCAGCCACGGAACTCTGTGGTTTTCCTTTTCAGATAACTACGGAAAGCTGCTTCACTGCTAGACCTTGCTGGTTGCCTTTCCATCATCCAGGTCAGCTCCTGCTTCCTGGGTTTAGTCTCCTGACTAGAAGCCCTCAGAATTTTTTTAATTAAAGATTGGTATTTGTTTTCACATAACTGTGTGCAAAACAACAGGCAAAAAAACCAAAAAAAAAAACCCCCCAAAAAAACCCCCAAATCCTAATAATTCAGAGATTTAGGGGCAAATTAAATCAGATCCAACTGCTGCATCTCAACTGCAACTCAAGATGCCTTCGTGAACACAACCACAAAACTCATGGAACTAATCAGGATTTTGCTCACCGAGCCCGATTCAAATACTCCCCCGCAAATACCAAGTTTCTACAGAATAAGTGGGAAATCAACAGCCAAAACGCAACAGACTCTTTTGCAGACTGACCACAGACAAGAAGCCTTCCAGAAGGGCTTCTTGGGCTCGAACGAACTGAAAAAAAGGATCAGTTCCCACAGTGGGACTATGAGAACTCCTGAAGGCACCAAAGCAGCAGGTAAAGCCAAGCGATGCAGCGGGCGCTGACCTGACCTTCTCGGTTTTCCTACAGGACCTTTTGGCTCTGCCAAGAGGAACGGAGAAGCCCTTCTGAAGGAGCTCATTTAAAACCCTTGGAAGAAGTAAATTCAGAGACATTTTTCTCATTACTTGCTCTTTATTACCAAAAGAAGCTATTCAAAACTTGGTGTTAATCTAGATCTTACCCGGCACTGCCACATCATAGCGGGGTTTCTACAGCAAAGCGACGCCTCATTGAAAGCCTCAGCCTCGGAAAACAAAGAGACTGACCTCAGGTGGAGCACAATATTGCAGTTTCTAGTTTTTATACTTTTCTTCTTTAACTGCTTCAAGTTCTGCCACTGCCAACAAGCTTTTACTCCCCTGGGTTACGAGTGCTTTCTTTTCGAGAAGATACACAAAGCAGCCGGTGCTCTTGTACGTAAGAGAATTATCGCAGCAAAATGGTGCTAGAACAAACTCTTGGGGTGCAGGACGAGCAGGGAAAGGCCAGGCCTCGCGGCAAGTACTTGCCCACGGCCCATACTGTAAATTGTTATACATGGAGAACGGCCTTCTGCAGGTCGTCACGATGGAGCCCCCTGTCACTCCTGCAACTCAGACGGCCAAAGCACTGCTCAGCCCTTCTCCCGCCAGCTACCGCCTTGTCCCAGGCTCTGGCAAACACATGCTCATCCCTTAACTCATTACTACAAATTCTAAGAAGAGGGAATTTGATTTTACTCATCTTTAAAACACAATTTCAGTGCTAAACCAGCGTTATTCACCGTTCCTGCGTGTCTTCCTTTGCTGTACATCACACAGGAGACGCTTTCTTTTCCCCTGCCTCCTTCTGCCCCTTTCTCCATCACTCCATGCCCCTTATCATCTAACAAGGGGAAAGCCAGGTATTCCCCACCTCCCTCCAAGTTTCAAACTGGACACACCAACTCTGCATCCATCCAGCAACCCCACAGCCGTTCGGGGAAGCGAAGGGGAGGATCAAGCCCCGGGGCACAGCAACAGCCAGGCACTGCTCGCTGCACCAGCAGCCCCACAGCACTCTGCAGTCAAGCAAAGCCAGATTTAAGCAAGAATTCAGGATGGTTCCTTTTTTACCAGGATCATTTCCAGCCCTGGCTGTCATACTCATGCAAGGGATGGAGCTCGCCAGACGCCCAGAAGTTTGACCTTCAGCTCCCAAATATCCATCCATGGACTTTCTCACCGTTTTTTTTCCTGTAACATCT